CCCCCCAAAAAAAAGAAAAAAAGAGGGATGCACCTAAAAATTAATTGGGAGGTGGAAGTTTGGAACTGAAATAAGATGATGTGCTTGAAATCACAGTATGCCAAGTGGAAGAAATGACTTCAATATTTAAAAAATAAAACGCAAATTATCTATAGGTAGATATTTACTGTCTCTCACATGCCTTTATCATTTGTATAACAGCACCTTTCCTATTCTGAAGAACTTCTTTTTCCAAAATTGACAATATGAATGTACAATTCTAGCATGAGCTAGTGATGATGAAATCCTATACCCTGTCCACAGAAACTGGTGTGTCTCAGTTACTTTTCTCTCTTGCTGGGACAAAATACTTGACACTCAAGATTAAGGAAGGAAAGGTTTATTTAGCTCACAGTTAGTGAAGGTTTCAGTCCATACTCAGCTGGCTCCAAGAGTTGCAGTGGCAGAGGGCAGGCATTCATGGCAATAGGAAACAACAAAGAGCAAAGGGACAAGCAGCAGCTGCTGCAGCTAGCAAGCCTCTCTCCCTTCCTTACTTTGTAATGCAGATTACTCACCCAAAGGCAGGGGTAACACTCACATTCATAACCCCTGCATTAGATTGTGAATTAATCACAATCTCTGGAAGCCACACCAGTAGCTACATGACATTTTGGGGGGACACCTAGACACAAACCATAACAAGGTGTGTGGATATATGTGTGTGTGTGTGTGTGTGTGTGTGTGCGCACGCACACACACACCAGGGCTAATGAAAAATTCTTTATTTTGTGGATAATAGAGGTAAGGACTCAGTTCCTTCTTTTGGTAAGCACAGTGTATAGGATCTAGGGATTCCGGAAGCTGTGGCTTGCCAGAGATAGAGATGACCTGTCTGAAAAAAAAATGAACCTTGAGAAACTGAGAAAAGCAGATAGAAGACTGAAAGAAGAATGATGACATCAGCTGTCCCTTTCTACTCTCTGTGCTTGAGAAGAGTTCTTTCCAGGCCCTTCCTGGGTTGCGGTTATGAGCCACAATCTAGTCTTCCACCTACAATAGTCTGACTTGGTATCTGTGTTTGTTAACCATTGTTCAGAGTAACAGAAATGCCCAGATTCAGGATATTATCAGGACCGGACAGAATCAGAAGTTCAGGAATCACCTTGTGGAGGTTGGTGTGAGAAGAAGGAGAGAGTATTGATTATTAGAGATTGAAACCCCATTTCTTGGCTCACTGGACTCATATCATATGCACTCCAAAGCTCAAACTGGAAGCAAGACATTAAAAATGTCAGAATTCTGGACTATGATGGAAGTTTTTTTTTTTTTTAAAGCCCACTACTGAATAAAATTTTTCAAACAAAAACAAATATAGAATATATCATTTCTTTCCAAATTTTGAACTTTATATTCAATTTCACATATTTGAAATTTTTATGTTGAAGTCTACAGTATTGTTTTCATGCATATTTCTTTTTTGTTCAATATCATGACTATAGAACTCATCTATTTAAAGACTACCCTGTGTACACTGTTATATGAAAATACAAAAACTGTATGTCTCCACTTTACTATTGATAAACAGTGATTGGCTCTAATGTTTAGCTCTCATAAGTAATTTTTCCAGGAGCAATCCTATACATATCCTATGGAGAACATCACAAGGCATGTTTGAATGTATACATAAGTAGAGATGACATTGTTGGGTCATGGAGTACAGATCATAGTGTATAAATATGATTATCTATAATAAATATGTGAAACAACTTTCTAGTATCAGTGTACTAATTTATGCTGCAAACATGTGAAAGTTTAGCTATTCCATAAGCTTGCCAATGTTTGGTATTATCTGCCTTTTCAGTGACCATTCTGGTGGTGATCTAGTGGCATTTTCTTTTGATGTAAATTTGCATTTTCCTAATGACTTGTAAAACTAAGCACTTATTCACACTTTTATCGCTCATTTGAATATCTTTTTTTTTAACAAAGCAGTCTTTCAATATCTTGCTTAGGTTTAACTGTGCTATCTGTTTTATTACATGAAACATCAACAATGTATCTATTTATAGAAAAAAGCACCTCTCACACATTAACAAGGAGAATCTATATTGTTGTAATCTTTAAATACAGCGTGGCATTATTAAAATTGACCATGTACACAATCTATAACCCAAAAATTATAAAACTTTATATGAAATTAAGATAAATATTCCTATACTTTACCAAGAAAAATTTATCTACATATACTGTTTTTATTAGCCAAATACTGAAAACAGCCTAGATTACTACTAAGTTAAATACAACTATACCATGTCATATTATTGCAATGAAATATTGTACAATTGTGAAAATAACTGTACTATTTCCATGCACAGCATGATTATAACTAAAATAATACTGAATGCAAACTACCAGACCCCAAAGAGAATATTTAGAATTATGTTTGTTAAAAGCTCAAAACAAAGGAAAATAAGGGACTACATATCTACATATAAAATGAAGTTCAAGATTAAGTGCAAAAAATGAGGAAAATTTTAAGATGAAATTTGGGGCAGTGGGTAGATAGCTACACAAATGTGGAGAAAACATTCTGGGTGGGAAAGCAGCACATCAATTGGCATAAATTATTGGTTCTTTTTTTTTTTTTTTTTTTTTTTTGCTCCTAATGCCTTCAGGGCAGGTTTGGCTGGCTTGAGTTCTGGGGATAGAACCACAGCAACCTGAGCCTGACTGCTTTGTTGAAGCAGCCACTTAAAGAACTGAGCTAAGGAGCAGGCCCCCAAATTATTGGTTGTTGGTAGCATTTTAGATCTTAGATTGTTGGTGAGCCATTGTGTGTGTGTGTGTGTTGTCTATATGCATGCATGTGTGCAGTGTTTAAAGTTGTAGAGTAAATCATTAATGGATTACCTTAGTTTTTAATAATCCCATATTTCTGTACTCAACTGTAATTTTTGCTATTACATTGTACCACATGTATCCTTTCTTGGTTTGCTTTTTTATAGTGAACATGCATAGAAATAGAGTTGCTAGGGGCTGGGGATAGAGCTCAGTGGTGTGGGCACCTGCCTGGCAAGTGCAACGTCCAAGTTCGATACCCAGCACAGAAAAAAATAAATAAGTGCTAGTGCAAAAGCTAAAGACATATGAAAACTTGGACAATATTGTCTTATTGCTCTTGATAGGGTTAGGTTGATTTAAGATTTTGTACCAAATTATAATTATTGTCATCAATAGGCTTCATAATCATGAGTTGTCCTTTATGTTTGCCTAAATGTGATTTTTTTGTTTGTTTGTTTTTTACCTGGATGTTGGTCAGATACTTTCATTTATGTTGTGGATGTCCATAAAATTGATTACATGTTCATTCCTCATCATGATAATTGCCATCCACTCATTGTTTGATTTAGACCTAAAACTCCCTTGGGTCCGGGTTGATGTTTGCCTTTTTGTCAGTGGTGGCATTCCCTTCTATTTGGAACTTGGTAGGATCCTTAGGTAGCTCACCTTCCTACCCTCCCAGTAATTGATAACAAAAATGTTTAGGCTCCCCTTTCTAAAAAGTTTCGTTGTAACTCTTACCCTCATCTTTTCCTCATGAACTCCCTGAGGTTCCCACAAGGACTTTCTGTGGTAATAGGTGGAGAAGACTGCTTGTTCTCAAGGAGAAGAAACTATGCCTGAAAGGCCTGCTGCTTATACCCAGAATGCTCTGCGTATCTATCCCCCACCGAGCAGATCTGCCCTACTCACCACGCAGCCTCCTGCCATAGGCTTGGTGTTCCAGAACGAGGAGGAGAGCAAGGATGAAGAAGACGGTGGACTTCATCTTGCCAGGGAGGAACTCGACTGAGAGCTGAGCTGAGCTTCTCATTTATACCCTCCTGGACTGGGTGTGTCATGGGCGTGGCTGAAGTTACAAAAAGCACTGCCCTATTTTCCTTATCTGTAAATGCTGACTTCTTTCCTGTTGCTCAGTAGGGGGCATTATCCTTGTCCCAAAGACTTTGTACAGGGACAGTGTTAGAGAACTTCACCACTCCACCCAAATCCCTGAAAGTATTTATCAACACATAGAGGTCATCAGGCACAGTTTTCTTCATTTCCAGAAGAAATTTAGTCTGGTGTCAGGTAGACACTTGCTGCAGATTATAACAATTGTTGGTAAGTGATGAAGCTTATACAGTACACAATGGTGGTGAGCCTATGGCATGTGTGTATCATGGAAAGCTCTAAATGATTCACTATTATAGGCCTAAAGTGTAGAGCTCCTTCCACAGTGCCACCACTTAAATGTATCACAGGCACAACCCTGTACTTGTAAGTCTTGCAAAATGAGCTCAAGGTACATATGGCTATAACTGATAAATAGCAATCATAGAGATCGATGACATGGAAATGAATGCAGCTTTATGAAAGTGAAAAATGTTGCAGAATTAAATAGGATAGCACACTGAAAAAGTGACTATGAAGCTCATCACAATATGAACTGTTGTGCAAAAGCTTCCCAAGTTTACTTTCTAGTACTGAACTTGAAAAGTCAATGCAGGTGTGCTGTGTTTCCAGATAGAGGACAGGACAACAACAATCTTTTCAATAAGTCTGCATGGATAGTGCACTCAGTGTTGAGGCTGGACTAGGGTGAAGTAAACTTCAGAGAGGATTAGAAGATTTTTAACATGCTTTAATGTTGCCAAGAAACACTGTTGCAAAGAGAAGGTAAAGTGTGGGTTTCCTTACTGAATTCTCTTTCTTGAAAATTATTAAAAATATTTTTTAGAACAAAAAAACATTTCCTACTGAAGTGTTCAACAGCCACAACTCACAACAGGAATACTTGACACCATTAATGAATTTATTCATGTATCACAGAGGTTGCCACGTGCATACCAACACCTGCACCCAAGTGCAGTGTTCTGCACTAGTGAGAATGTTGAATGACATTCCAATAGTTTGGTCCATGGAGGATGTGGCATGGGCAGCCTGCAGGAAAGCAGAGCATCTGCACAGGGAGCCTGTAAGTATTCAGAGAAAGGTAGAGCAGGGGTCTGGAGTGAAGAGGCTTTGGAAATACATTTTCAGTCTTTACAAACCACCATAAGGAGTGCTTCATGGAAATTGCATGGGAAAGACTAGCTGTTTTCATGTGAAGAACATAGGTACAAATATAAAGATATGAAATACAGAATAAGAAAACTACGTAACTAAATCCAATCTCTGACCAAATTTATCTCTTTGTCCCAAGGGCAATGGTTATATCCCTCCAACAGAGACCCTAGGGAGTAGGCAGAAATTAAGGAGCCCGCTAATTGCTCCAATTCCTCCCACATTTCCTTCTAGATAATACTGGGAACTGCTCTGTTCCAAACTCAACTTTTAGAAGAACAATCTGATAACACTGATGTTATTTATGAATCAGAGCACAAAATCCTTGACCAACCCAGTGGATCAAACATGTAGAGAGCTCAGGATATGTAAATGAAAACCAAAAAAAGCAAAAGCAGGAAAAGGCAAACTAAAAATAGGATGAGATTATAACATTATATCGTATCAGAACAGGATTCAATAAAATTTGAAAGATAACATTTCAACATAGAAACTGACAGTATTAATGAAGATGAAAGCAGACACCAATGTCTGGAAACAAAGACTCAGTGATTAATAAATCTTAGATATGGTATCTTAGTAGCAGGAGAAAAATATCCTGCTGGCATGTGAAGGAAAAGCTCCTAGAACTATTAACTGTATAAAGTTACCACCAAAAAAGGGAAAATAAAATCTTTAAAGTACAAGAGAATTTAAATGTGCTTATTTAATTTTATGCAAAATTACTTGATAATGTAGGAACAATAGCAAAAAAGTATTCTACCTTTCTCAAAAATCTAAATGGTAGAAATATCTTGAAAGTGACACAAAAACTGCTTTAAATCTTCTTCCTCAGCCCCATAAATGCTAGACTGTGTGACATGAAACAACAACATAAGATAAATCATAGCAGAGAACACAGGTAGAGAGTATTTGAAGACACTGGAGGACAAAATGATTGGGGTGAACTGAGCAAGTGGAGAAACAGAGACATACCTCCTGAGTGATAGTTTGGCTTCTCCAGGAGGTCAAATCCACCCCTCTCTATCTTGTTTATTTAGACCTGGGAAAGTCTCCAAATTAAAGCAATAACAATTAGAAGCATCCTGTGAAGTTAGTTTTCCCAAGTAGCTATCAACATCCAGAGAGCCCTGGGAGTCTTCATTGACCGACATGACACTGACGAGACACCTTCTGCACTAAACCATCATCCTTTCTGCATTTCTCAAATATCCAAGGTGTGCCTTGGTATGAAAAAAAAGATCTACTGCTAAGTGAGCGTGTGAGCCCAATGTTTATGTGATGAAATACACATAACACAGAATTTGCTGTGTTAAAATTTTTAATTATGCGATTTAGTGGCAATCAGACTATTCACATTTGCTCAGCAATGACCACTAGGCATAGCCATACCTCTCTCTTCCACTCAAAATGAAACTATGTTAGCTAATATCTCCATATTACTTTCTGGTCCCAAACCCTGACAATCAATATTCTACTATCTATCTTTAAAATTTTGATTTTTCTGGGTATATCATAAATCTGCAATGATACAATATTTGTGCTATGGAAGGTGGCGTCTCTCTGCTTCAGTGTAACTTGACAATATGAATCTTATTTTATCTATCTTTTTTGATAATCTCAATTTTAAAAGTTAGCACAAAATCAAGGGTTTTCAAGATTTCCAGCACAATTCACATGGAAGAGGTGTACTGAGTTCAATCAGGAAAATGAAGCCACTTTGGCATAAGAAGCAATTTTATAGAAAAGATGAAATAATACCTTCAAATAAGTAAGAGATAGGCCATTTGTGGGTCAACAATTGGCTGGAATTTCTTATTTTTTATTTATTTTTTCCTGTATTTTTGGGGAATGGTCTTCAGGGTGTTCAGGGTCTCACTACTAGATTGGACTTGAAGTGATTCTCCTTTTTACAGCCTCCCAAGAGCTGGGATTACAGGTGCGCGCCACCACGCCCAGTCTCAATCGCCTGCTTGCAGGTGCTTTAATTTGCTGAGCTATTTGGCCAGCTCTGGAGTTTTTTTAAAGTTAAAGAAATTGCAATATATAGAAGCATATGGATAGCTCTGCCTCAGAACAGACTATCTGCTTAGATACTTCAAAGTAGACTTGGACATGAATAAGTTTTTCTCATCCTGTGAAGAAGGATCAGGGCTCTCTAAGCACAAGACTTTGCCAGGTGACAGTTGGACTTGCAAGAGAAGGGCAATAAGAGCTTGCACAGCTGGCATCTGGATAAGTAGAAACTCTGAAGTGGAGTACAAGATCTTGTGGCTAGCAAGATCGATGCATTGTGGAGAGTCTGCTTAGACATGAGTTCTTTTCACTTTCAATTCTCCCCAGTTATTCATTTTTCTTTCTGTGATTTTATCATTTAGCTTGGATCAACTATTGCCTTGGAATTCCTGCTCATGGCTTGGTTTCTGGTTAAGGTCACATGAATCCATGAAGAACTCTTTTATTAAAGACCACTAATTCATTCTGTCTTGGTCACCATTCTTAGCAAAGAGAAATGCCAGAATATAAAGGACAAATATTCCTGGCTCCAGCTCTCACTCCAACTGATTCCCAGAGTGAACGTGGAGGACTCTTCTGAACTTCAGTTTTCCCATTGCACGGTGAGGGTGTTTGCAATCTATCAAAGTAGATTCCATTCAAATTCAATGGAGAGACATGAGTCTAAGAATCTTTTAAAATGAAGTATCCATAGTGCTTTGCATGACCTTCGCCATGCTGGACTGATATGAAGACATGCATAGCTAGCTAAAGCACAGTCTTGATGTCCAAGGCGGTTAAAAAAGGAAAGATGAGGTTTTTATCAAGATGGTGCTGAAGGCAAAGAAGAAAGCCCCTGCCCTTTCTGAAGCTGAAGCCAAAGCAAAAGCTTTGAAGGCCAAGAAGGCCATGCTGAAAAGCATCCACAGCCACAAAAAGAAGATATGAACATCACCCACATTCTACCACCCCAAGACACTGCAGCTCTAAAGGCAGCCCAAGTAACCTCAGAAGAGCACTCTAGGAGAAACAAGTTTGACCACTATGCTATCGTCAAGTTCCCCCTGACCACAGAGTCAGCCATGAAAAAGATCGAGGGCAACAACACACTTGTGTTCATTGTGGATGTCAAAGCCGATAAGCACCAAATCAAACAAGCTACAAAGAAGCTCTATGACATTGATGTTGCCAAGGTCAATACTCTAATCAGGCCTGATGGAGAGAAGAAGGCATATGTTCAACTGGCTCTCAATTATGATGCACTGGATGCTGCCAACAAAATTGGGATCATCTAAACTGGGTCCAGCTGGCTAATTCTAAATATACTTTTTTTCCCAGTTAAAAAAAAAAAAAAAGGAAGGCTTCATAAGAGGTCTAGTTTGTTCAGGATTGTTCTGCTGCTTAACCCAGGGTGTACACAGAGCCTACAAATATGATATCAGAATTCCCACTCTCAGCCTAAATTCTGTAGTGTGAAGATGCTTAGCAGAAGGAACATGAAGCAGTTAAATGGTCTACAAAGAACTCTACATTTCTAGTACTAATATCCAATCTGGATATTGAATTTCTATTCTAGAACTGCTGCATTACTTCAGCAATGCCATGTGATCCTAGAACCTCTCCTCTTTAGCATCATTCCTGATGCCTTCCCACCACTATTGTAGTACTGTAAATGTTTTTATAAAGCAATATCATGGAGAACATTGGAACTCTGTGAAGACTTGGAGGGTACAAGATATTTGCATGCATTTTGAC